ATGGCCATGCCATTGGGAATACCAGTAGTGATTACATGATGTAATCGAGATATCAAAACGTGGGCTCTTGGACTTGACGAATGAACTCCATTGGCATGACTCGATGAGCTAGAGTGAGATTCACTTATGGGTTATCCTGAGATGTGCTGGATGTTGAGAGAGAAAGTCGACTCTGCCAGAGGCCTCACCGTCTCTTTTCGGTAATCTCAAGTCAGTCTGGAGAGTCTACCTATTCGAGGTCATCCAGTTACATGAGCGACGCATGAACAGCCATCCCTCTCCCATGTCACAGAAAGCGTAGTCTTTGATTTATCGCCGGCTATCTTCGCAAGGAACACATTTAATCATTGCCATGAAGCTATAATGTTCGCCGTGTGTTCAGGGGCTTCAAGTTTGAGAGAGTCACATGAGCCAAGTGTGAGCCGGACTGGCGACCGCATATGTATGAGAAAGTCAACATGAAGTCAACGTTTTGTGATCGCTCGGTCAACTTAGAAACATGAGTGGGGAGGAGCATTCCAGATGAGCACTATCATCATGGTTGCAGAGCTCACTCAAAGGATCGTGAACGAGATCAAGTTGTCTACTGTGGGTCTAAGATTAAGCCAGCATTCTGTTAATGTCTTACGAGGTTTGACTAGCACGCTTGAAGTATACGACATGCAAATGCGGCCTCTCTTAATTAATTACGCCACGTGGACGAGTTGTTACTCGGATTGAAGGATGATCTTACACATACAACAACACTGGCTCATAAGTTGGAAATGTTGGCTCGTTGATTGTGAGTCTGAAGCTCTGTGAGTTGAATCAAGCGAGCGTCATGATGTGCTTCTCTTGCCAAGTGTGGGTTCGCTTTGATCACGCAGGTCACTATTTATGCAATATCTTAGCTCTGGTACCCTCATTGCATGGTTTGCGCTTATCCAGCACTTCAACTTGGATATCCCAACCTCTCGTCAGGGGCGTTAAGTTTGGAGCAGTAAGTACTTGAACGAAATCTGCAGATGTGATGAACCGTACAAAACCCCAGCAATCGTAGGCAACGAATAGAAGGGCAAGAAATGCTCCAGATAGTGAAGTACTCTCACTTGGTCTTCATTCCGGAATAGGATTGTGTCAAGAAGCTCATCACCATATCCGTTTTGGACACAAGCCCAATAATTGACTGAGCGCCCACAGGTAGTGTCATGCTATCGGACATCATGCGACAAGAAGATGGTAATGGATATAGAGATGCTGCAAGACAAGATAAGAGAACATATGTCATGATGCTCGCGCCAAGAATCAGTTCAGTGGATATCGCTTGAACGCAAAGACATAGAAGTAGATGACAATGAGTGCTCCTTGACACAATTGCCAGGCCTGTCCCATAAGCTTCTGATATACTGTTTTCTCTTTAGTCGGCGACAACTCATTCATCTTCACTTCTCTGCAGACCCGAACCAGTGCTGGCCATGACTCGTCAGCAGATGGATGTCACGAAGAAAGCGTTAAGCGGCTCTCCACAGGACATTCCAAGATGTTCTACCACATTGGAAGACCGCTCTTGCCTGATGAATTGCTTGCCCGTCTCAACTGAACACCTTGGGCTGGCATGGGCTGCTCTTGCAAGTCTTGTAACGCCACACTGCTCGATGAGAAAGCACATGCAGCTAGGCACCTGTCATGTTTCCAGTGCTGTCCTCAGGAGGCGGGAGGGAGAGACTTCCTTCTTGCTGAATTGAACTTGATTTCCTCTTGCGTCACTGGCGATTTGCTCATCACACTTTAGGGATCACTAGGCTACCGATGGTACTTCCTTCCACCTCGTATTTAGACATGTCCAGAATCCCTCCCCGACAACAGGGCGCCAGTCATGGGCTATCGGCTTCCACATGCCGAGCAGCAACAACTTGATCCGAAGGTCCGTCACTAGGAAATGAACGGTGTAGAACAAGTAGTCTCGAGCGAGCAAGAAATCCAGCGACTTACACGAATCGAAGGTCGAGCCGGATGTAGTCCCTCCCGGAGCACGGCATATGCGGCAGCATCAACAGAGTAGAGCAGGCATCCAATATGACATCCACAACCCCTGCCCAGCACACATCGACCACGGATACCAGCATGCGGCATCGCAGCCATCGCGGAACACAACATCTGGCACTTGCGGGAAAGAACACCGGTCAAGCTCTGTCAAAGGACGGCGCGGGTGCGCCGTTGGCCTGTCGGTAGCCGGATGCCCCTTCCCAACTCACCGTCTGCCTTGTTTGACGGCACGACTTGCCCTTGCGGACACCGAAGCCACGGCCAGGACGGCAGGCATAATGCAGATTACTCCTCCTGCGGCGGATGTCCTGCCTCATGTACGGTCCACGGAATACCAGCTCCTGCAAATCCGTTGTATTCCCATCATCCCCATCCCATCGGCTGCCCTACGATATGCCGTCTTCATCACACAACATCCCAACAGCACAAGGTGACCTGCATCCAGCTTGTCCCACGCACCAACGCAAGGTATGTTACCTCAGCCATGCAAGAAACCCCCATTCAGAAAGCCAAAGTACCTGATACACTTAGCAACCGCTCTCACAAATGCTTTATCTTTTCTCCTTCTCCCCACCGCCCACTCTCCTCTGCGATTCGTCCATGCTACGCGTCCCTTGGATCCCACTAACAAGACCAAAGTTACCAAACCAACCGCCGCCATCACGCGCGCCAGATTAGAGAAGAGCTAATGCCGAGCGAGACTTAAGCACCGCCCATCAGGTCCAGCTGGGTCACATCTTATACAACCCCCCACCCCGAAAAGCGAGCGCGAGAAAAAAGACAACGCATTGTCTGACCCAACCAGCAAGAAGCGACGGCGCATCTCGAGTATCCCAGCGCGAAGGAGGAACCCGCATGACAGGCCTCCCTCCTGCTGCCTGCTGCCGACCTACCCGCTTCCACCGCCGTCTTGGCAAATGCTTGACTCAATGTCGGGTTCTTCTCTTGGGACCGCGCAAGGCCTCTATCAGGTCTTCCAGCTCGTCTTCTCCTCCGGCTCATCGGACCCGATTAAGGATGCCCGTTTTCGGACCGACAGAGAGACGGTGTGAAATGCTGTAGCCACCTACCGGGCGGCCAACTCTCCAAAAGGTGGGCTCCGAATCCAGTCACCGTTACCATTCTCGAACGGGATTCCCAGATGGGGGTCAAACCCCGGTATATCCGTGTTTGCCGTCAGAAGGAAGAACATGAGGAGAGGGGGTACCAGCAGGCTCAGCAAGCCCCGAGGCATAACGAGGCCGACTTGGCGCGGCTCACGCTCGCCACAAGAATACCGGGAGAATGACGTCTCCGCGCCGTCGCGGGCATGGTCCTGCACCTGCAAAGCAGCACACAAGTACGCGGAAATGATCCACACACCGCCGCCGCCCGCGCAAACTCCCGGCCATGATGGGCAAGGGGAAATACCCGTTGCCAAGACTGTCATCAGTTTTCGGTCCCGCGTCTCTCGATCTCGCAGTGTGTGACGGTCATGGACTAAAAAGGATGTCCTGGGGTAGTTGGCCTTTCTAGTCGCCCACAACACTACGGCACATGCATTCTTGATTCCCTTTCTTATGCGACGCTATACTAACCTGACCGCTGAGGTGGAATGAAGAAGGAGGTTGACGGGGTCACTCGGTGCAGCAGCTAAGAAGCGCCGCTTCATCTCTCGCTGTTCTATCGCCAACTCACGCGCAACACTCGGGAAGGGGCGCCCATCGATCGTTGCTGAATTCCATATTTCCCGCATCAGACCGACCCCTTGAAGCGCGTGCATAATCGCGCATGGCCTCTTTTTGCCAGTCGGTTGCGGTCGCGGCCTTCCCAACGTGGTATTGACGGAAGCCAGCAGCACCACATGCTGCTACGGCTGCTACAATATCAACAGCGAAATAAACTAACTATTCAAGACTAGGAATCCGAGGAGGGGCACCGGGAGAAAGGGAAGGGAGGGGGCGTGTACCCACACTAACTACAGACAAACCAGACACACGGAAAACCCTCCATCCAACGAGAGAATACCGCGGGAAGAGACACCGTCGAATCACTCTTGCTAGCTGTGAGACTGGAAACCTGAGACGTGGGATGCACACAGGGCTGGGCTGACGGGCTTTGCCGGCCATCGGCTGGTCGTAACGTAGCTCTACTTCAGTCAGCCAGTCGCCCATTTTCATTCCCCCTAGCAGCCCGCAGGTTAGCAGCAACCACTTGCCGAGGGGTCGGGTCGTCGTCGCCCGTCCCAGGATTCCCAAACAGGCTTTCCGCGGCGACCTAGGCCAAGAGATGACGGTACAGTACCTCCAACCATCCAGGCAGCTCATCGTACCTACACAGTAGACTCTAAAAGGGACGAGGATATCGAGAAAAAGGCGGGGAAAATCAAGATCCATTGGATCCGCCAGCCGGCTGATTGGATCGCATACACATCCGCATACAACATGTTTTCCCAGCCCGGCTGATTCCAGCAGCTTGGCAACGGATCGGTGACGGTGGTGACGGTCGTTGCAAGAGAAGAAAACGTCGTGCTCGGGGTGTTGTGTTTCCTTGTGCTGGATACCGTTTCATTCACCCCTCTCCGCCTCTTCCTCAGCTGAGCCTGCTGCTAATGCTGCTGGCCTTTCTCCCTTGCCCAGCCTAGCTTCCGAGTTTACTTCCCCCGCGACATTGGCTGCCGCTGTTGGTTGTCTGCGCCGCCGGGGATGAAGGGGGGAGGATGAGGTCAAGTACGTCAGGAAGAAGTAAGATGATTATGCTTCGAGGTACTCCGTATTTCTAGAGACATTGCGCATCGGCGGGGGAGGCGTTGGAAGTTCGTCCTAGTTTGGTCCCATCCTCTCCCCCCCTCCTCCAGGTCGTATCGAGACAAACTTGGCGAATCCTTCGATGAAAGCCAGAGAGTCTTGGGTCTCACAGACAAGAGTTCCATTGATTTCACGCACACAAGAGGAAGTATACCACATTCAAGTTAACTTTTGTTTGAATTGTAAACTGCAAGGAGCTTCTTTCTAGGAGTGCTTTTGATCTATCCCGTGACCGACTGTCAAAGAAACTATCCCCCCATCTCTCTGCATCATTGTGCCTCCCCTCGGGACGTGGTCCCCCAATCCCTTGTAGTCCCGTTCCCTGCACTACGCGGGCGTACATCACCATTGAACTTCGCTTGTCTCTGGCGCGCGCATAGTATCAAAGAAGGTAATTTGATTATGTACGTCGATGCACCACCCCTGGGCCTCTTCTAGAGCCAGAGATGGCCGTTCTTGTTTCTGGTGTGCATGCAAACACACACAGGCATCTTCTGTGTAAACTCGCGACACGGCATATCATAGCCGGTGTTGCTTTCCCCAGGTAATTATGGGCTGTATTCAAACACAAATCAAGGCCGATCCTTTCCACGCCTTGTTGGGCCCTTTTCCTGGAGCCTTTGTGAACGCCAATTGTAAAAGTGAAAAAAAAAAAAAAAGTATGTCTCTCTGCATGCTCATAAGCTGGAACCGATTCCAAAGGATAGAACCGCAGCTATGCAGAAAAACAAACACGTAATGAGTCGTACAGTCGTGTCCGGGTGCAGTCAATAGCCCGACTGGCCCGGCATCTTTCCAAGTGAGTGGCCGTGGCTCTCCAATGGCAGATGGTTGTGGCAGAACACCCTCTTGGTGTTGAGCTGTGCACTGCCCTTCTTGGTAGCGTCAATGAGAAGAGCTGGGTCGTCGTAGTTCTCAAGCTGGCAGCACTCAATGTTCTTGACCCAGCGATGGTTGGCGATTTCTGAGATGGTGGCGCGCTTTGCGGGGTTGGGGTTGAGCATTGAGAGGAGCACACGACGAAGTGCTGGCGGGGAGACGAATCCATCAAAAGCATTGAAGAATGGGTAGTCCGACTCGGTGATGCGCGATCCAGGCTCAGGGTGCTTGGCTTCCCACTTCTGCCATCCCTTGAGCAGCTCAGCGTACTGGGGGTTTCCCTTAACCTCAGCCTTACTCCAGATGTTTCCTCCGAAAGTCACGTAAATCATGACAATCGCCGCGCTCCACACATCGAGACCTCGCGGGTCATACTCAGTCTCCTTTAGGAGCACCTCAGGTGCCGTGTACGGCTCGCTGCCACACATGCCAGGCTTGCACAGGCGGATTTCGGCGCACATGCCCTTGCCACACTGGCCGCCAGCTTCTCTGAAGCCAGGGTGGTGGCCAGTGAAAACTTCTGAAACACCAAAGTCGGTGATCTTGAGCTTGCTGTCTTTGGTGATGAGAAGGTTCTCGAGTTTGATGTCACGGTGAGCAATACCGTTGCTGTGAAGATAGTTGATTCCCTGGACAAGTTGCTTGAACAGGCAGAGGCGATCGGGAAGTCTTGCCGGATCTTGGAGGTATTTCTTCGCAATCAATCCAAAGAGATCACCCTCTGAACAATACTCCATAATGTGGTTCCAACGACCATGATCGGTGCAAAGTCGGATCGTCTCGACAACGTTGGGGTGGTGCAAGCTCTTGGCGATGCTGTACTCGGACTTGATCTTCTTCTCGTATTCTTCTTGCGTCTCTTGCTTTCTCTTGGCTCTGAACTCCTTGACTGCATAGAGCTCATTCGGGCACCCCTTTCGGCTCATCATAGTGACCTTGGAAGTAGCACCCTTTCCGAGATGTTTGCCATGGCGGCCAAACTTGGATAGGTACTCAAATTCCGCAAGGAGGTCGGCGACATCGACTTGGAAGTCGTCCGGGAGACTCAAGCTCATGCGTCGAGCCTTGACACCAACACCAGCGTCAGGCATCTGAGCCCATGGAGACGATCCCTCCAAGGGAAGAACAGGGTTGTCTGAGTGAGGATTGGGCGCAGACGCTAGATGACGGCTCTTCACGCGGCCCTCGAAACTGCTGGCTCGTCTCCTGCCCAAGACAGGCTTGACCTTCTCGGCGTGCTTTTCCCGTCCGGAAACATTGGCGCCGACGAAGTTGACAGCGCGTCCTCGTAGGTTAAGGCCGGTGGAAGCCCTGTTCTTCTTTTTGAAGTCATCTTGAGTAGGCATGTGCGAAGACTGCTTGTAGGAAGAAATGGTGTCTACAGGAGAACCTGGAGAGGGAGGTGAGTTCGACCTCGTGGTAGTGTGGGACTTGTTCATTGAGAATCGTCTACGATTTGAGGGTGCTGTGTCAATCAATGCACTCTCGGAGGAGACGTCGTTGGACTGGTCCAAGGTAAATCCGAGATCTGGTCTGTTTTGGGATGAGTTGGATCGTCGAAAGATGCTGGACATTGTCCGTTTAAAGCTTGAAGTAGAGCCGCGAGTGGGCCGTCTTGACAACGGAGTTGGTGGCGGTTCTTGGTCAGCAGCAGGTTCGGCTGCAGTTGAAGGGTTGATAGCGGTGGTAGCTTTCGGTGTGAGGTCTGACTTTGCAGGCGAAACCGAAGGTGTGGGTGCGGTGTCAACCAGGAGAGGTTTCGGAGTGGTCTGCACCTGATGGGTAGCGGTGAGATTGATGTCGTGATGGTCCTGACTAGGGCGGGTGGTAAACTCTTGGGATTGTCTCCCACTGCTAATGGGGGTCACAGGTTCATTCGGAGACTCGCTTTCGGACTCATCGGCTTCTTCGAGGATGGGAGAAGTAAGATCGGTAGGAAATTGACGGGGAGACGAGGACAGGCTACTCGAGTTTTGTTGCTCGGCGGAATGTTGCTTGTCTAGAATCGCAAGCGTTTATTAGCGACGGACGCCTTCAAGGGTGCTGCGGACGGAAACAGGGCGGGTTGGGAACAGCTGCTGAATGACGGAGGTGCAGCCAGGGTGCAATGACCATCAGACGTGTGTGAACGTACCTTGGGAGATGGAAGCGGGCTGGGGCACCGCCATGCTGGTGAGGACGGTCGCCATCGCTGTTCGGAGTGTGGCCGGTGGGCACAAGGACAACAGCGGAGGAGGGTGCTCTGATCAAGGATGGGCCAATACGTAATTGGACCACACACCACCGAGAGAGAACGCTTGGTACTGGTGCTGGTATCGGTACCAGTTGGTTTCTGGGAGGGCCAAGTCGGTAGGTAGTATAGTCCGCGGCGTTTCCGAGGGGTCTCCAATTCTTTGGTCTGGGCCTTGACGAATGGAGGGGGGGTTTGGTTGGGCGACGTGCGAGTAGTGTGTCCCCCAATTATCGGTCCTGAAGCACCAACGTGAAAGTCGAACTAAGCGATAAGTCGAGTCCAAAGCTGGCGAGGTGGGTTTATTGTAGGAGAAATCGGGAGGCTTGTAGGCCAAAATCCGAAGACGCAAAGGAAAGGGAAAACAAGAGAGTTGGGGTTTCTTGGTCTTTATCCCATTGCTTGAGGCTGCTGCATGCGTTTATTCTGCGTCGGGATGTTGTCCGGCGTTGGTGGATTTCTGTGTCGAATCAGAACCACGACGAGACTTTTTCGAGTACAGAAGACCGCAAAATCAGAATAGGTAGACTGGCTCTGTGATCCGTGTATACGTCCTTGTCGAGCGGAAAGCTGTAGGTGTCTGCGCACGCGAGCGTATGCGGTTCTTGGTGTAAGGTGTTGGGAGAAGCAGGCAAGGTGAAAATCGGGTCCAGGTCCTTGTCGAAGGAATTCGTCTTGGTATCGGAGTGACTGGCGTTTGGTTTGTAGAAGACTGCAGGTGCCAGAGGAGGTATATGTAGAAAAGCAAAGTGAATTGCCGATCGATGTCTCTTTCCTTGGTGAATGTTGTCTTGGTATTGACCAAGGTAGACGACCGTGATGAGGTAAAAGTTTGAGGTGTTTGGGATGGATATTAGTCGAGGATTAGGTCAGAGGAAGAGTAGAAAGAGAGGAGAAGAGGGCATGAAAATAATTCAGGCGTCCATCCTTATTCCGTCCTGGTCTTGGGAGGTGGGAAGGCTGCGAGTTTTGAATCGTCTCGCAGGGGAAGATAAGTCGCGGTAGTAAGGGGGGAGGGAACGGGTTCTCGATTTGGATGAAGACAAGCTCGAAGAAGGACCCCGCCGCTGCGCTTAGAGGGGCGTGGGAGTTGGAAAGAGGAAAAAAAAGACTCAAGAGAGAGAGCTATTTTCCGCCTCGGCCGGGTGTGGGAGTGGAAGATTGTACTGTATGAAAGTGGATGGGGAAAAAAGTTGGGTGCACCAAGTTGGAGGACTGGGGACTGTGGACCGGGGGGAGAAAGTGAGAGTGGAGGGTCTGCAGTTACAGTTGCAGGTGTGCAGGTGCAGACTGGTCAAGGTCAGTCAGGTACGGGGTACGAAAGCGCGGGTGGAAGAAACGCCATGTATCTTTTACTTTGGTTGTTTTCTGGCACTCGCTGACCACTCTGCGGCCAGCCCCGGTTGAGAACCTCGAAGAGACGATGTACGGATAATCACAATACCTTAGACGGTACTGGGTCCTTTGGTGGTGAGACTGAGAAGGGATACTCCGATACAAGTAGAAAATGGCACCCAATGGGATGGAGGGGTTCTGGTGGCGGCATGCTTTCCTTCCTCCTGAGGCCTTCTTGGAAAACAGAAACAAAAACGGCAAGTGCACGCAGGCAAAAGGGAGGCAGGCAAGAGCAACCAACAAAAAAGTAAGTACCTACCTTACCTTCTACACGAAAGATGGAAGCCAAGGCAAGTACGGATACCTTCCATTTCCTCACGTTTACACTGCTTCCCCTGGGATACATGCTCCGTACACACATGCCACTGCGTTAATCTCATCGACGGCATTCTGGGCGATGCAGCAAAATGAAGAGCAACGCTTGGCATCCTCCATCCTCTCGACAAGCGTCAACGGAAGCAACAATAATACAACCTACGCAGCAGTTTCTGTCCACAAGTTCTAGCCAAGCCCAGACTACGCCAGCGTCCAATATCCCACGTCCATTCAGCAAGCCGTATTCGCGAAGGTTGCGGCCAAGACGGTGCGCAGCCAAGAAACGACCATAGACACAAAAGAGCACGAAGCGTTACCAGCAACAAATTGTCACTCAGTATCCGTACGAAGTACGCACTACGCAGTAATATCTACCTTGCCTTACTTTTGTCTACAGACCCTCCGTACGCAGTACTCCACGCACAGCATGGATGATGGGATGGGACCGGAGAGCGCCCTCGAGTGGGGACCGTTTCTCTGGGGGCACTTGGGGCTTCCATGCTGATGCACCCATCTGAGGGACCCACCCGACTGACAAGACACCCTCATCTCACAAATTCTCACCCACCTGGCTCGCTCACTCTCACCACTCTCTCACTCTCACTCTCACTCTCACTGCTCACTCCCGGTTCACCTCATCAGGCTCTCCCACGCTTCTCAAACCTAAGCTCACGGTTCACCTACAAAGTACAGGCTACGGTCCCTCATCGGCCCTTGTCACCCAAGGGCCAACACCGACGAGCCCTGCCCTACCCTGCCATCCGGATCCTGTCCACCCCTCCATTTTTGGTCTGGTGCTCTGTGCGTCTAGCTTGCACTGCACCTCAACCCGCGCACCAAAGCACATCAGACGGGACGGCATTCTGTGCCTATCATCGGCTGCTGCACAAGACTGGAGCATCACCCTGCGACTTCGCACCATGCAGTCCTCAAGCAGTATGCAGTACTCCCTCCTCTGCCACTCGCCCAAGGCCAAGGCTTCACCACCTCGTGGTCCGGACCTGGCCGAGGAGAAAAGTGACTGAATTCAGAGACCGCGGATCCTGCCAGGAACACAACCATGAGGTGGCCACCAGGGCGAACAAGAATCGCCCGAAGCCGCGGGTCGTGGAACCCGGAAAGAAGCCCCAATGAAACATGAAGAAATGTTCAACTACGTGTTTTTTTCTGCTCGACAAGCCGACGGTGTCAAATTGCCAACCATGACAAGCAACGATCAACATGAGCGGGTACGGAGACCGTACGGAGACCAAAGAAACACCAATGTCTACCAGAAGACTTCCTAGGAGACATCGTCTTAGCCAATCTAGTACGTACACACTGGACATGTATCTGTAACAGCAACTGTCATGACAAACAAGCGTCGGTGTTGGCATTAGCATTCACGTAGTGCCTTGTGTGTATTATTGGCACTGGCGGCGTGGCGCTCGTCACTGACTGACAAGCATTGGCAGGCAACACAAGCAGGCTGGCAGCTTCATTCTTGGCCATCCATGTCTTATTCCACAGTAATTACCATATTGCCAGCGTACGGATACCAATCCAGAGTATCATCCTCTCATATGCCGCCTACGGCCTGCGGGCCTGAAGTGCCCTGAACTGCTGGGCTTGCTGCGGGTACAGAGTACGGGTGAGGGGGGGCGTATTCGTGGATGCGCCGCCGGCCCCAACGTGTGTCGTGACCACAGTCAATGATCAATCCCAATTGATACAGCACAGCACAGCACAACGCCAGCACCACCACGGGGTTGACAGGCGAGACAAGATCAGAGGGCGTGAACGGGGGTCCTTGGAACAGGAGCATGGGGGTTCCAACTCCGACTCGTTCCTTCACAGACGGACGAATGAGACACCGCTGGAGGCTGTGTGGGGTGAATGATGCGATATTTGCTTGGCTGCAAACCGCTGCTCTGCTTCTGTGCGGGAGAACCACCTTTTCACTCAACAGGACTGGTCCAAGTGGTTCCCTTCCTCGTCCCTGCTTTTCTCTGGTACCGCCTATGGCTTGGTCTCTGGAGAAAAGGAAATGCGGAATGGGGAAGTTTGTCCTCGCGTATCTGCGTAGCGCCGCAGGAGCCCATCTGGGCGTTCTGTCTTGCTGGTTTTCTCTCCGTGTATTTCTCTTGTCGTGTGCCTCACTAACCTCCGCCGCCGGTCCCCTCACATCTTGCCCAGCCAACGACGGTGCGGCAATTCATCAGTTATCTGGGAGTTGAGGGCTGAGGCGGCGAATCCAGCGCGAAAGCTTTGGCCGCATCCGCTTCAGGTACTCGAATCCACAGCACGCGCTACACACAACGGCATCCGCATATGCAATCCACTCTGCACATCCATGCCGAACCCGATAATGACGATGGCACGGATGGGTTCTTTGCTTGCTTTGGGTCGTGGACTCCTGGGGGAAGGGGGAGGAGCCCATATCGTGACCCTGACCCGCACAATATCCGTATTCCCGTGTTTCTATCCGTGTACGGATATCTATCCACCAAATGGATTATGGGGACTAGAACCAACGAATGGATCAACAGAATGACATTACAATATGACCTAGTCCTGCCGAGGCATCTTGGAGGACGGTCTCCGTTTTCATTTGGATCTTCTTACCTCAGTGGCCTTACCTGAATCTACACTGCAAGACTAACGATGTGGTCATTTGTTGTCCTTGGCTTTCCCTTGGCTGTGACTGACCATTACCATTGACGCCCTCCACCGCCTTGAGGACTCATTGTCATCTACCAACCCAATGTTTCGTCTTACTCATTCCAGGATCAGAGAAACAACTGGAGCACATGCGGAGGTGGAGGAGGAGCGGAATCCGTCAAGCTGGCAATGTCTTGTCTTGGCCGACCCTGGTTGACATTGCCATTGCCCCTGGGTCCCTGGGCCGCACCGCAGTTAGAGGCTGTGGACAAGTGTGATTGCGGCTGCGGCTGCGCTTTCCACATGGATTTGGATCTCGAAAAATGCCCTGCCTGTCAATTCATGTCTCAGAGGCGCATTTCGAAAGCCTCCAGCTGACGAAGATGAGTGCGAAGCAGGTACCCAGGTAGACACTTTGATTATGAAGCAGCAGTGAGATAGACCCAAACATACAATTACAGTCTTGCTACTGGCCGAATGCATTACAGAACAACGTGAGCTCAAGGTTTCACGCCGTCGAGATATCTCGTTCGGGGGCTGCCCGCGGGTTGTGATCATTAACTAAAGATTCAGCTAGATTTACTTGACCAACTTTACATTGGACACAGCGGCACGCCGATGCAATGGAGGTTCAGTAGGTACGGAGTACATGCCTCAGACGCGGTACGTACACAGCAGCGGTATGGCGGTTCGTGCGCTACGAGATGACGGCTGAGCCTGCTGAGGTAAGAAAGGTTGACTTCCTTCCAATGTTTGCGTGAGACTCGAGAGAAGGAAAGAGGAGGCAAGGAATGGAAATATCTCGGGCTTGCGTATCGCACACTAACGAAGACTTGCTATCGCGAAAGCAGGAAACAACGAGAAACAAGAATCAGACGGCAGGCGAAGGGGTCCACGTTCCCCTCCACCCCTTCTGTCATACCTACAGTCATGGGAAGATCCCAGAACGTTAGGCGACCAAAGGCCCTCTTCTTCTGCCATTCTCCATTGTTCCAAGCTATCCATTCGACGGGCTCCTCCAGTTCTGCCCTCCCTCTTCCTCCTAGGCTCCTCCACCTCCACCACCCCGAATCCGCGATTCCGCCCATTGTTACTCTCACCCACACGCAACCCTTCAATCCAAGAGAATCCCCATCCGTCCAACCAGCCGCAATCCTCCAGGTGGCCTAGTGGGCCTGTCAGGGCGATTCCTCGGAGCGCTGTTCAGACCGGAGGGGCAGCCACACCGTCACTGGGCACTCGAGACCCAGCAGACAGCAGATCGAATACGGTGAGCGATCCCCTAGGCCCGCTGTGGTGTCGGGACCTCGATGGTCAGTGGTCGAAGCGACGGAGTCTCTCCGATAATAACAGCGCCCCAAAGGGCCGACAGGGCCGACTGGCATCCTGCTCGTCGGCTGCTACGGCGCGAAAACAGGAGGGCCTCTTCCGATCACTCAGCACACCAAACGCTCGGCAGACCCGGCACAAGTTGGCGCCCTCGCCTTGAGGATGCTTGTGTGGTTGTCTATCAAGCACCTTGGTTCACGTGGTGCCTGATCAAGTATAGCAATAGGTACACGAAGCAAGATGAACAAAAATTACTGGTCAGGCAATTTCCGAAGAGCGATTGTGTCACGTCAATCTATCAGATGCCATGATTTCGCCGGATAGCAGAGGAAAGATCGGTGAAGC